TTATGTCACATATTGTAAAGTTTATGAAAGTAAAAAAAAATTATAAATATTCATAATTTCAAATGCTTCAAAAAAAAAAAAAATTCAAAAATTTTAAAAAAATTTATTTTTTAATAAAAAAAATAATTTAAAAAACTTAATTTAAAAAAAAATCTTTTTTTCCAAAAAAAATTATCAAATGTAAATTAATATTTGTATGTGTATTTATTAATTATAATTACTTTATATATATTTTATTTATTGAAATTTTTTATTTAAACACGTAAATTTTTTTTTTTGATAAAATTTTTCCGCTGGATTCCGGAATTAATAAATTATTTTTCTTTTAATAGTCAAACATTTAATTATCAAAGAAAAATAAGCTAGAGAAATTCCGGCGATCACATCAAACAGCTAATAAAAAAAAACTTAGAACAAAACCTTTTTTTAATATATATATATACACTATTTATAAATCACGCTATATATCTCTCTATTTAATTTTTTTCTCTTTCAAAATTTTCTTTAAAATATAAATCTTTTTTTAATTTTCTCTTTCCTTCACCACCAGAAAATAATTTTACAAAATAATTCGTGAACACATATCAACTTCGTAAAATAATCAAAAAATCAAAACAAAAACCAAGACTATAATAATCATGCAAACGAATACAGAGGATTGTTATTGGGCATTACTATCCAGAAAAGATTTTAGCTTCTTGTACTTGTCACCTTGGTTGTCGAACAATTTGAAAAATGAATCATCAGATTTATTATTGGGAACTTCTCTTTTCGACTACTTTCGTCCTGATGAAAAGATGTTGGCTCAAAAAGATTTGACTAGAGTTAATAATAATAAATTATCGCTTTCCATCACAAGGTAAAACATGTTAAACATACATGATGAAAACGTAAAGTAATTTGATGCCAAAATAAAACTTCAATGAACGCGTTTTCATTTTCATTTTGCTTTTTTTTCCTTTAGATGTCACTTTAGCACCATTTCTAAAATCAAAAGAAAATTGAACTTAAAATTCTCGTCTTTTTCGCCAACAACAAGTACATTCAACAACAACAACAAACAACAAAATAAAAAAATATACAAAAGTTTTAATGTAATATGTAATATACAACATATAATAAAGCATTAATATTTGTGAAATTTTTTTTTTTTAAATATAAAAATTATGCATTAATAAACCTAATAAATACATTAATAAAATTAAAACGCCAAGCTCCTAACCTCAAAACATCCAATCAATCAAACAATCAAATAAACAAACAATTCAAACAAACAATCATTCAAATCAAATCAAACCAAACCAATCATTCAATCAAATCAATTCACTCAATCATTCAATCACTCATTCATGTTCTTTTTGGTTTATTTGTACGTCTTCTTTTTTTTTTTCCCATTTCAAAGTTCGTTGCATCCTCCAAACTACGTCCTATAATATCCAAATCCTTAACCTTGTATATTCTGACTATCCAATTCTCTGTGGTGTATGCCTCCTCTAAAGTATTCAAAACAATCTTACCGCTTGGCAATCTTGAATTCCTGACTCTGTCATGACCACCTTGTCCTCCAAATAATTCATTGTAATTATGATAGCTCATTTTGTACATTATGCTATTCCTCATTGTCGGTGTGGCCTCATCATCCACTCGATACTCTCCTCTCGAATTGAAAAAAAGACTTTCCTTCACATCCTTTGGATAAACTCCCTCGGCAATACGTATCATCCACAAAAACTTGTTAATGTCATCGCCCGAGTATCCCAACAACCCACCAAATATCACCAACACGTAATCGACATCATGTCTTCTCATTATCTCGTACGCCACTTCCTCATTCGACGACATCGCTTTACCAACTGTGGCAATATGCGTATTATTCCATGTGTTATTGTCAACCAACACTGTCCTATCAGCCATCCCGGCTATCTGATATCCATAATCCCACCATGACATCACCTTTGAAGAATAGTCTGTGTTTTTTCTTAGCCAATAATACGCTTCTCGAAAATCATCAATTATAACTTGCGATCCGTCTGCTTGTCTGGACGCAAGCACGATCGATGGAGACGAGTATGCGTTTGATGTTACCCATGTACAATGCCATGTAAATAACACCAAAAAGAAAAAGACATTGCTCAACACTATTATACGAGTATCCAACCCTAGAACTCCAAAAAATTGATCACCGATTCCTTTCAAACCACCACCAGTAGATTTCTTTTTTTCCTGTGGTTTATTTCGTGAGCCACCACCACCACTGCCAGATTTATCAAAAGATTTTCCTTTATCATCTGTTGCTGATTTCGAATTCGTGGCCTTTTTGTCATTGCTGTCAGCATCATCTTCATCATCCAACGTTCCCACATCCAAATACAAATCCAACAATTTCGATATGGTTATAGCCGACGTGACACAAACAATAGGTGCCAATGTTAACATTAACCGAACCATAACGCCTGCAAAATACGAGGATGTGATGCCGTACAATATCACAAAAACATGTTCATCCTTCAACTCCCTGAAACAAAAATAGATTCCAGCCGGAAATAAAAAGACCAAAAGTTGAAGATCAAAGAAAAATGATGGCCAGGCTGTTGGTTGATGTTCCGATACTGAAGCGATGATGGGAATGTATTTTTTTGCATAGCCTGTATCCCATAAAGAATAGAATCTTCCGGTCCACGGTGCAATGACCCCAGACAGCGTCAGCAACACCAATCCCAAAAGCATTACCAAATAATGAGGGCCATACCTATCCTATAAACATATAAAACATCATCCTTTGTTCTTTTTATCTTGGTGGTTTTGAAATTTTGTGAGGAGGAGATGAAGGTGGAGATGGTGTTTGTTAATTTGGCAGGT